AGGTGATTTAAAACTGGGGTGCCAGTCTAAATGCCTAATGCATTCCAACACGCTTCACCTGAGAGGAGTTATAGAAACGAAATGTTCTAACAACTCACAGAAAAAATAATCGGCCCACAACTCTGGACACTGGGAATTTCGTGGGAAGACAATAGGTTCTTAAGGACTAATTATGTCATAGAAACAATACAGGATAATGCTTGTCACCTTCTCTATATTGAATGGCAGTACCTTTTGTTTAGCAAAGATTGATGACAAAAATCGTTTTTTTGAAGCTAAATTGAGAAAAGTTATCATGAATAGGCACTTTAATAGAAACTACCAGTAGAGCATGTTCTTGGGGAGGATTTGTATTTACCTCTGGCATTGCAATCTGAAGTATTTTATTCAGAATTATATATATATTTATATTTTTTTTTTTTTTTTTTTTTTGAGACAGAGTCTCGCTTTGTTGCCCAGGCTAGAGTGAGTGCCATGTGTCAGCCTAGCTCACAGCAACCTCAAACCTGGGCTCAAGCAATCCTCCTGCCTCGGCCTCCCGAGTAGCTGGGATTACAGGCATGTGCCACCATGCCCGGCTAATTTTTTCTACACATATTAGTTGGCCAATTAATTTCTTTCTATTCATAGTAGAGACGGGGTCTTGCTCTTGCTCAGGCTGGTTTCGAAGTCCTGACCTTGAGCAATCCACCCGCCTCGGCCTCCCAGAGAGCTAGGATTACAGGCGTGAGCCACCGCGCCCGGCCTATTCAGAATATATTATAATCTTCAATTTTAATTAAGAAAATTTAGTATTTCTTCATGGCTATAAAAGAATCAAAATGTTTCTACCACCATTGTCTTATTCCACCTCAGGAGGATAGTTTATAAGAGAGAATAATATTCTATTAGACCCTTATGGTTGAAGCATCAAGAACAGTGTTTTTGGTGAAATCAAAAAACATACCCTTTTGGATACATATACTTGTTAGTTCAGTATGATTTGGGGTAATCATTCTTAGTACTTGTTATTCTAGCTACACTCTGCCCTATGATACTTGTGAGTCTACTAAAAATTGAATAGCGCTGTAGTGTCAGAGTCTTATACCCTCGAACAAGCATCATTGTTGATGAACATGCATTATAGTATTTCTACATGCTTTTCTTATGTGCCATGTAGGACCCATGACATGCACCTTCATTTTCCTTAAGCAAAAATGCATATAGAGTAATATTGAAGTTATGAAACAAAGAATGTGTGGGGCAATAAGGATAAAAATAATAGCATGGATCAGGCGCAGTGGCTCACGCTTGTAATCCTAGCATTCTGGGAGGCTGAGGAGGGCGGATTGCTCAAGGTCAGGAGTTTGAAACCAGCCTGAGCAAGAGTGAGACCCCGTCTCTACTAAAAATAGAAAAATTAATTGGCCAACTAAAAAAAATATATATAGAAAAAATTAGCTGGGCATGGTGGCGTATGCCTGTAGTCCCAGCTACCCGGGAGGCTGAGGCAGGAGGGTCGCTTGAGCCCAGCCGTGGCACTCTACCCTGGGCAACACAGACTGTGTCTCAAATAAATAAATAAATGAAAGCATGTGTTTTTTGTCCTTGCAGTACTCAGTGACAAAAGTTTTAAATATTATCATTCATGTATTTCCTTTTATGAATAATCATAGAAAATGGGAACTTTGTTTTGCTGGATAAAGTAGCAACTATCTATATTCACTATTGTAACACGTTTCTGAAGGCGAACTTTTCACCACTCCCCAAATACTTGATTGATGTGCACTTAACATTTGGTTTGGATATTGAGATGGATGCTGTACACTGAAGAGAACTTTTATGGCACAGTGAGGCTTTCTGAGGGAAGCAGAATAGTCTTTCACACCTGGTCCAAAAATGGCTTCAGAGGAACTGGGATGTGTGATTGGCTTGGTGTGTTAAGATTGTTAAAGGGTGGGTGG